CAAGTGTATACGTTTGCATGTGACGAGGCGTTGCGCGACAGATTGTTTTCAACTATAATGATCCACTCAAGACTCCGCTTAATTTGTTGCCGCTAAGTGGTTATCGAATTGGCGTTGCCATTTGACAAGTAGGCCTATTCAGAAAGCGTATTCGTCGACAGACGGTCAAATTATGAATTGTGTGGTAGTCTATCGTGTATCAGAGACTGGTCGGTAATTTCATTCTGAATTGGTCGAGTCATTTGCGGTTTTTATTACATGAAAAAAAAAAGGTTGTTTATGTTTGTATGACGCTTAGCTTTAACACATGGAATTCAGCAAATATTGATGGTAACTGGGACGTATCGTGTTCAGTTGTGATGTAATAGAGAATGAGTACATGTTAACAGGCTGTCATCATGTCATAGTTGTCAACACCCATACATGCATAGGTGCAGGGTAACAAACATCGTAAAGTATGAAGCATAAGTGGAATGTGTGTACGTAAGCATTAATTCGTGCATTAGTCAGAATATTTAGAGCATCTGATGTTGTAATCGGAATAACTATGTAAAAATTACTTGTTATCCGGCTAGTTTATTATTAATTTTAATATATGTACATGTAGGCCTACCTATTGTATAAACAAATATATAAATAATAATAGTAGTGTTGAGATTGGAACAAAAATTATAGCATAGCCCTTTTCTTTTAAAGAGGAATCTGCGAGTGTAAAAAAATAGGTGCCACAACCGGGATTCTAATACGGGACATTCTGCTGTCTATACAGCAGAGTCCTTTAAACTATCATGAATAAAAACAACAAAACATTAAGATGGAGGAAATACAACAAAGGCAAGGCCTGACAATGTGTTGTATTACCTTAATAAAAAGACAATCATATGAAATAGAGAAGAATATTAAAAAAAAACCATTAAAAATATACATTAATCTAAACCAGGGAACAGCAAGCAGATACACAGACCCACCCACCTATACGAAACACATGTAGCCAAAATGAACAAGTAATCATTTATTAAGTCACAGTATTGCCATAAAGTTAACTTGCATTAAAAGATTAGATGTGCTTAGAAATCTGTGTTTTAAAATGATTGACACTATGAGAGTTTCCAACTCGTTCTGACAAATTATTCCAAAATCTAGGTCAAGTTGAAAATACAGATTCAATCTTATGAATATCTAGTCGATAGTTATTTCATTTCTAGTATTGTACCCATATTGTACCCATGTAAATATCTGTTAAACGCTGTGAGGGACACCCTAAATAAAGGGATAACCTGTTTAGATAGAGGGAATTTGTTTGCGAAATCCCGGGTACGGAAAACATGGAAACCCTCTCATAACCTAAACAAATTTCACTTGTTCTCCAGGTCAGTGACGCCTAACATGGAGACGAAGCAAAAAACTAACTCGACTTTGTACGCTGGTTAAATCACTATATTACTGCATACGTAAATTATACAATGGAAACATAATCGTGATTTAAAAGCAGATATTTAAAATTCAAGGCAGGATCAAATGATTTACCGCTCAGTAGTAAAGTTAATAGATGGACGTAAGTGAGATTTGTCTATTATGTCATTCTGGTACCGAGGACATCAAACACTTCTTGATTACTTATAGAAATATAAAAATTAATGATATTTGTATTGATGAATTCGTTAAGCTTGGGGGTAGTTTAAGGAACATGATCGATAGTCAATTATCTTGGAAGTAGGTTGCCTCCTTGGACCTAGATAGTAAAATCAGACTTGTGCTTGGTTACTTTCATCAAAGATATAAAAAGGTAAACCCCTCTAGCGTTTCTCAACTGCAAACATTAAGCAATGTAGAACAATTTAGAAAGTTGGCCAAAAATAAATTAAATGGAAAATTCTGGCACATCCAGGCAGAGAAATCAGAAAAATACTTTGTGAAAAAACGTTAAAGTAAATCGCCTGAAGGAAACATTGGGTCTCTATTTCTTTGTTTTAGGGAGGGTTACAATTTATGTAATACGGGTTATATTAGGTCACTATTACTAGCACTAAGCATTTGAAAAATAAGCCCAATCATGTTCCAGTTTAGGCCTTTTCAGATTTAAATAACAGTACAAGTAAATGAAATTAAAAATTATTTAGTGCATATGCTCATAATACTGGATTACTATCAGAAGCTTTACTGTAATATATTCTTGATAATAGTCAAGTTAATAAACACCATAAAAGTAAAGATATTTGTGCAAACCTTTGGTAGAACATGTTATTTTCTCATCATCCATCCTACTGTAGGTCTCTTTAAACTTATATTATGAATATTCGTTTCATATTTTATCTCAATTTTTTTAAATCTTCAAAGAATAATTCGGCTTTACACAAATTACTTCAGGTGCTATTGCTAGTTTTTAATGGAGTTTTATGAGTTGCAGTTTTAATAACTTGATACGTTTATTGTCTTGTGTTAACATTTGTGGATTTTATATTCTATTGTGAACACACCGCCTTTGTGTGCAAATGATTCATTTAAGTTTTTTTAATTATCAATGATTACCAAATAGAAGACTATCTATGCTAATGGCCTGACCCCGCACTTGGCAATTAAACACATACCTAAATACATATTTTGTTTTATCTATAAATACATACGTATATTATTTCATTTCAAATATCTCGTCTTGTATAAAATGCTTGAGGGCGTATTTTGTTATCTCTGTAATCTCTGTTATTCGCAAGTGCATGTGAACTACCGTTGTCTACGCATTTACAAAACAACTGAATGTTGGATACATGTGTTCAAAGCAGTTATTTTGTTGGTGTCTTCGTTCTTTAGGGTATTGCAACAGTGCTCAAAATGACCAGTGGCGGATTATATATAAAATGGAGAAAAGGAAAAAATGTTAACCAAATTTAGGTCTGAGAGTGCCATTTCCGGCCATATAGAGGTGCCATAATAAAAAAATGTTCTACCCTTCTGTGAAAGTCCCCCTTGGCCCCCTCTATTTCAAATTCTGAATATGATAGCAACGATGCTATTATTTTCCAATTTGTTTGCATGAATGTTTTTATAATGAAGACGATTGAAGAACTCAATCGAAACGTCGAGATATTCTCAACCAACAACAACAGTTCTTTTCAGAACTATCTACGTGGTGTACCGCAAGCATTAATATATATTACAGTATTATTTCGCCATGCAAACCTATTCAAACAATATTTTATTATGTTATGCAGCAACTTTAATTTAATATATATAAAGTTAGCCTTCCAATTCGAGACGACTTTGGGATCTCGGGTTTGGTTTCCAAATAGAGGGCTAGCTTAGTTTTAAGTGATTGAAGGCTGTCATTTGGTTCATCGAATTAGAGGGGTCTCGGAATTAAAAAGATCTCGATGGAGCTTGCAAAGATATTATCTATTTTATTTCAAATGTTACGTTTGGTGATGACTCAGAGTATAGCCACACAAGGTTGGCCACGTGATTGGGCGTGCCTAAAATTAAGAAATCATTAAACTCTGATTAATTTCAATAAACTAATTGAAATGATATATTTTCCATAATGTCTAAACAATTTTAATAACGTTCACATTATACAAACTCATCTTTAATTCATAAAACATTACAAATATATTTCCTATTCTTTTAGTATGTAGGTACTGTATCTATAAAATTTACATATTTAAATAATCTTTTGTAATAGTCAGGTAACAATTTTCAATCATCTGTTGGTATCATAATAATAATAATAATAATAATAATAATAATAATAATAATAATAATAATAATACAGTTATACTCCTCTGAGCGACCACCTCTCGTATGTGACCACTCTCATAACCAGCACTAAATCATTAAACTCTGATTAATTTCAATAAACTAATAGAAATGATATATTTTCCATAATGTCTAAACAATTTTAATAACTTTCACATTATACAAACTCATCTTTAATTCATAAAACATTACAAATATATTTCCTATTCTTTTAGTATGTAGGTACTGTATCTATAAAATTTACATATTTAAGTAATCTTTTGTAATAGTCAGGTAACAATTTTCAATCATCTGTTGGTATCATAATAATAATAATAATAATAATAATAATAATAATAATAATAATAATAATAATAATAATAATAATAATAATAATACAGTTTTACTCCTCTGAGCGACCACCTCTCGTATGTGACCACTCTCATAACCAGCACTTGCTAAAACCCGTATTTTTACCAATTCAATCACTGCATTCTAAAGCCGGTTTTCCACTAGGCGAATTTATTCGCGCGAATCGAAAGCGTCGGTTCATGCGCATGCGCATTCACATCCATATCGGAGATTTTGCGAAGCGAAAAAATGCGCAACCAATCAGAGCTCAGGAAGCGAACCGACGCTTTTGATTCGTGCGAATAAATTCGCCTAGTGGAAAACCAGCTTTAAGCGTCATCTCTCATACGCGACAGCGACCACTTTTAGGCTTAAAATTGGATTATCTGTATATTTTTTTCCAACACACACAACATGGAGGTGCTCAGAAAAAAAACCCTATTAAAGTACTAAGGGTGATCGCTCATTAATTATTTTTCCATAATAATAATAATAATAATAATATACTATGTTGTTGTATTTATGTTTTTACCACATTAGTTTAGACCTCACTGACGTGTACTCCCGTAAGCGAACACTTTCTTGGACCCGAGGGTGATCGCTTACAAAAGTTTGAACTGTAAAAAATAATAGCTGTATACCTGTTTTAATCGGTAGTCATAAACCAAACACATAGAATATTACTTACTGTGAGCTTTCCAATTAAAACAGTCCTACGGCTATAATAAGCAAGCCATATGAAACACAGAATATTTATGTAATAATAATAACAGCCTAAATGAAAGCTCATTATAAGAAAGTATAATACATACTCCAAGTATTGAAATACACGCCATCGTGTTGGGATTCAATATTTCGACATTAATTATGTCATCATCATCCTGATGATGACATAATTAATATGATGATGACATAATTAATGTCGAAATATTGAATCCCAACACGATGGCGTGTATTTCAATACTTGGAGTATGTATTATACTTTCTTATCTGAGATTAATCAGTGGACCTTTCGAAAGCTCATTATTTCATTAGATGTTTAATTTGCCATCTTGGAGGGCAAATTGCCAATAATTGTGTAATCATTTAGCCTAGCCCTTGTAGTAGGATACAACTGTCGGACATCTTTGTTGAGCTTAATCACTGTCATTTTCACTTATATGGTTGTAATATGACATCATCATGTCCATATATGGGCAAATAAGAGATATTTATCTCACAAAACTTGATAGTGTGGAGAGAGCTTTGGGAAACACGAGTGAGATATTCTACATGTCAACACTATAAACACAGCATGGAGGACTTAAACGCAATGCTTCACACGCAATTTTGTTTCGATTTTGGTGATACGTTTAAAAGCTAAACGGGTTTAGGCATAGCCTAAGGTGATTAGGATTTTGACGTGTTTAGTATTAAATGTGCATAGGTTTTGACACCATGATGTGAAATACCTAACGCGTCAGAAACCTTAAGCCTGTTCTAAACAAAAAAGCGGGAAAAAATCGTGGAACATTGCGTTTAAATCCTCTATGCTGTTTTTACAGTCAGTGCTAGCAAAACTGTCTAACTACTTGCCTGCCCAAGGCTAGTCTGCTAATACATGCATTGAAGTAAACTGCACTTATTGCTTCTCATAAAATTAAGATCGATTGCTTCACTTATTATTGATAAAAGATTTTTTAATGTAATTACTTAAACTTCGGAATCGTCCTCATTTGTATATAAGCTAGCACCAAGAAGCCCATCGACATTATGAACAATGCCATCTGGTTTTGCCAGAGTCCCCAAGAACTATAATCAATCCCCTGTTCCATGAGGTAAACTGTTCCAGGAAAACTAAAATAAAAAAAGTTACACAACCAATTTAATTTAAATAAGAAGTAAGTTAGCATGAATTACATTTAGAGAATCCAGCGAGATGACGTAGACATGATTGCTGTAGTTAAGTTGTGTGTACATCGGTATCTTCATGGTCATCGCAATCATCAACATTATTATTATTATCATTATGATCATCACCACTCATATCATTATCCTCCTCCTAACCATCAACTACATTATAATGAACATAATCATCAATATCATCATCATCATCATCATCAATATCATCATCATCATCATCATCATCATCAAGAGCATCAATATTTTCATTATTATCATCATCATTGTCCTCCCTCTCCTCATCACCTTTATCATCCTAATTATTATCATTTGTATTATTTAACTGCAGTACTACTTGGCCTAATTCGATTTCATGGCTAAGTATTAATCACCCATGCATTTTAGTTAATAAACTAAATTAATCAAAGCTTGTATCTTGTCGTTTTCATATATCCTAGAATCGCCTTGGCTTCCTCCTTGTGGTAAAACATATTTTGCCAAAAAATCTACACCAGATTTCCGAGTGAATTTGGCTTGGGGAACACATTTTTTCGTCATAATAGTATGCGATATTTTGCTATAATACTTAAAAAGTACAGTAATTAGTATAAAATAAATAAATGAAATAGTTCGGATAAAATGATATGACGACATAAAATCCTATAATACTTACACACCAAAACCGCAAAAAATGTCAGTACTATAACTTTGTAATTTCTTGAAAAATTAAGTACTAGCCATTGTTTTATATTGGTCTGCAGGCCAGTACTTAATTTCGCCAACGCAACAAGAAATACATACCAGTTGTTACTTACCAAGGATTTGTTAGTGTTACATTGGCTGGACAAAAAGTCATCTCTGTAAACTCGTTGATAAGTAGTGTCTGTAAAGTTCGAGAAAAAAACACGTACCGTATAATATATTTTTAATGTTTTTTTTATATGACAACTCAATGATTAAATATGTGTATTCGATGTTAACTGGTGTATGGCCGAACTTACTCGTTACTTATTCAAATAGATAGTATATACATGTACTTATATATGTGTGTCTGTCTATCTTTGATCACACCGCCTCGCCTCGGCGATATCGTTTATTTTCGAAGATTTCGTCATTGAAATAATAATAGTAGTAAAATCATAATTATTATTATTATTAATTATCTTTATTATTGTTAGAAACGAATTCAAGATGACGGTATTAATAATCTATTTATTATTCAAGTACACATGTAAACATATGTATTTGATAAGTGTACAGATATATGCACTTACGTTTAAGCTGTATCTAAAAATGCTAGTGTACTGCAACCACTGTAGCCAGGACGGCAATGAACTGATGTTTACAAGGAAACCGCCAAATACCTAGGGAAGTTGGTAATACGATTGTTAAATCAAAATTCGAGATTTTATTCCTACTTGCGCCATAATAATAATCATTTTATATTTATAGGTCTACATCGCATATTGACAGTACCAAATTGTAGGACAAAGTTACAAGAAAATGCGGTCGACTTTCATTTAGCTGTCAGCCAAGTACAGAGAGTAGCTATCGGCAATGCGCAGTGCGAAAAAGCTGCTGTTTTCTATCGGCACTGCCACATGCGAAGAAGCAACTGTTTTCTATCAGCACTGCCACAGTCGAAAAGCTGCTGTTTAATCGAAATTGATGTTTTGATCAATAGAAGAATGCATTATGCTTCGGTTGTTTATCCTCCGGTTAGGCATCGATGCTATGTTGGTAAGGAGCAGGTAAAATCGTTCACTGTTCCACATAAGAAACACTAAATTACAATAATTAGTAATTATTTGCTGAATTATTTGATCACTTTACTAACAATTCGAAAACAATCATGAACAGTTTCTTGAAGAGCAAGTTCAAGCAGGCCTAAGTTTTAAAATTAAACAGATGCTTATGTCTGAGACATATTTTGGTGGGATCGAGGGGTCGTACAGGAAGAGTAAGAGATGAATGTTGATTGAGAACGGGAAGTTTAAACAACAGGGGAAGAGGGGAATAGAGAAAATAACGTTAATGAAGAAGTAGAATATACAGAGTGGTTCTGGATTTTGGACGATTTTTGAACGAAAGATAAACAATCCTAAATAGATTCGAAAAACGTTATACCGGATCTTATAGAAGACATAAAGTAGCTGGGAAATGAAGCAGAGGTATTAATGATTTCTAGAAAGAGAGTTAAAAGTACTTTTAATGCCCGTAGAGTTGTCTGGATGTGTTCTGATGTGGTCGTATGGCAAGCCGTTTTATCATTTACCTCTGAATTGCAGTTAAGTCGAATGCATTAGAGTTAACTGAAATTCAATTACAGTTAACTCGAATTGAAGTCAAGTTAACTGCAATACATTGGAATTGCAGTTAACTTGAAATGAATTAGAGTTAACTCTAATTCAATTGCAGTTAACTTGAATGCATTTCAAGTTAACTTGAATGCATTTCAAGTTAACTGCAATTG